TATATATATATATATATATATATATATATATATATATATATATATTAAAAATTAAATGAGCACTCATAATATGAAAGCAGTTATGGACGCGCTGGTTTACGCATGGAAACAAGAGGCACGCAAAGCACATTGGCAGAGTTTGAATCCCACCCGCCCCTTTTTTTCTTTTCTTTTTGCAGCGAATTTTGCACCCTTTTTTTCTTACACTTTTTCCTTTCCTAATTAAGGTTTTTTTTATTAATTTTTTTTATTTAAGAGTTTCAGTTAGTATATTTTATACTATGTGATTGCTAAAAGGTTTATGTTAAAGGAAATAAGCACCCACAATTTTTAAATCCTGAATCAGTCACTGTAAATATCTTTATACTATAGTCAATAAAATAATTTATGAGACTCGTGATTGATTGATTGAGACAATATTTCCCTTTCTAGTATGTCTATTTCACATAGAACATATACTATCGTTAAGAACAAAAATGTCAATTAAAAGGCCACAAATGTTGACTTATATAACATATTACTCCTGCGGTATTCGTACGCAATCGATTTTTGAAAAATAATTAAGCTTATGAATAAATATAATTTCTTGCATAAAAATAAATTATAATTTAAATATGCCACGTTTTACCGAAAAAGATTGATTCTATTGATTATCAAGAAAAAAAAGAACTTCACCATACTAGTGTTAGATTAATCTTAGTCTTATTATAAAGTGAACTTTATTCTATTTTTAAACTTAGATTAAAGAGTTAAAAAGTTGGACTCTACGTGTTTAACTTGTGAAGTCTAGACAATTGTTAAACTTGATTAATTATAGGGTTAAATAACCCAATTTTTGTATGATTCAATAATTAGTTATGTGTTTACAATAATGATTTGTCTATAATTTTATCATTGTTACAAGAAATTTGCTTGTGTACACTTAACTAAAAATAGTATTAAAACTATACTTTTAAGTATACTCAAAACGGTATATTCCTGTTATCTCAAAATATTTATCGTGATTCTCTTTTATACGTCTTTTAAGAATTATTAATTAGAAAGAATATTATAAGTATTTTAATTACCTTACAAATAATTTGAGTTAATTATTTTCAAAGACCATAACAGATAATTTGAGACCGAGAGAGTACACTTTTTAATAGTGCTTAGGTAGCAACGAGGATCTTTTATCTGAATTGAACTTTGTCATGTATGAATAATAATGAAAAAGATACTTACTAAAGAACACCATAATTTAATGTGCATATAGTTTAGGCAAAAAATAAATCATAATATGTAAATATTTTTTAACTTTATCTCAATTAACATTTTATATTGTTTAACTTTGAGTTTGTACAAAATAATTACTTGAATTTGAATAAAATTAAATAAGTAGACACGTATATCCTATATGCAAAAACGATAATATATCTAGTGAAATCCCACGAGTGGAGTTTGGAGAAGGTATTAGAGTGTATGAAGACCTTATCAATTCCTTGTAGAGGTAGAAAAGTTGTTTTAGAAAAACAAATATGTTCGATTGTATCTCACTCGAATTATCATGTCGGATGTTTATATCTACCTGTTTAACTTTATACAAATTTAAGTATCTACAGATATACACCCAAACATAAATATCATTTCAAGTTGAAATCAAATTAAAAGAACATACTTATGTGTTATGCCACGAAGAAACAGGCTGTTCCTTAAGATGTTTATAAATTTAAAATAGAAAAAAAAAACTTAGAAAACGTAGTTGCATTCTATTGGAAGTATCTAACAACTATCCTTCTTGTTCTAATTTATGCAAAGTCGGCCGAATATACCCCTTTCTATGACACCACACACCTTTCATACTATATATTTTTTTTTCTTACGGAAAAGGGTCAAATATATTCTTACACTATTTGAAATAGCTCATATATATCTTTAAATTATATTTCGGCTCAAATATATCCTTCCCCTCAAATTATAGGGTCAAAAATACCCTTTTCATTAACAAGATCTGTTAAACGCCACTTGGATGCCATGTGGATACCACATGACATGCCACATAAGTCAATAGAGTTTCACTCGTGCCACGTTAAAAATAAACTTACCCCTAATTTCCCCCAATTTTCTCTATTTTCCTTAGAATTTAGAAACGGTTTCACCGAAGAACATAGAATCCCTTTCCCTTTAGAACTTATGTATTTTGTGAAATCGTTCTAACGAAATGGAGAATGAGGAAAAGGGGTTCTATGTTCTTCAGTGAAATCGTTTCTAAATTCTACGGAAAATGGAGAAAATTGGGAGAAATTAGGGGAAAGTTTATTTGTCTACGTGGCATGAGTGGAACTCTATTGGCTTATGTGGCATGCCATGTAACATCCACATGACATTTAAGTTGCATTTAACCGATTCTGTTAATAAGAAGGGTATTTTTGACCCTATAGTTTGACGGTAAGGGTATATTTGAGCCGAAATATACTCAAGGGTATATTTGAGCTATTTCTGATAGTTCAAGGATATTTTTGACCTTTTTCATTTTTCTTAATATTAAAAAAACTCCAAAATCGAACTTCTTGTAATCTTATCTTCGAGTCTATCAGAAGCAACCTCTCTAATCTCTATCCCATTTGTATACATTTTATCCTTCCTAAATCCCATTATAGCCGGTGGCGGAGCCATCATATCTTTAGGGGGTTCGTTCAAAAAATTATATCATGGTTAAAATAATATATATAGATGTCGAACCTCCTTCGGCTACATATTTTGTGTGTCTATTTCTTCAAATTTTGAATCCTTATCGAAAATTGTCTCTATCTCTAAATTTGTAGCATAACACTAGATATGTTGTTGTTGATAATATTAAGGATTTCTCAAAATTGAACTTAGCTTGTTGTAATGTTGGTCTTTTTGTCTTGTTGTATCAACTCATTGTATTAATAACCCCTTGTCTACATTATATATCTTAGCATTAAAAACTGTAGTAGTTTGAGAAATATTACTATTATTAACTATGGCTAAAGATCAATTACAAGTACTAAATGCTCTTGATGTTGCTAAAACACAATTGTATCATTTTACAGCAATTGTAATAGCAGGAATGGGATTTTTCACTGATGCATATGACCTTTTCTGCATTTCACTTGTGACTAAATTACTCGGTCGAATTTACTATCATCATGAGGGTGATAATAAGCCAGGGATTCTCCCTCCAGGTATCTCAGCTGCAGTGAATGGAGTCGCGTTTGTTGGGACACTATCGGGTCAATTGTTCTTCGGGTGGTTAGGTGATAAAATGGGAAGGAAAAGAGTATATGGAATGACTCTCATGATCATGGTTATTTGTTCGATTGCATCAGGGCTGTCTTTTGGTAAGACCTCTAGTGGTGTGATTGCTACGTTATGTTTCTTTCGATTTTGGCTTGGTTTTGGTATTGGTGGCGATTACCCTTTATCAGCAACGATCATGTCTGAATACGCTAATAAAAAGACTCGTGGAGCTTTTATATCTGCAGTATTCGCGATGCAAGGATTTGGGATTTTGACAGGAGGGATTGTTGCACTTGTTGTTAGTGGCTCGTTTAAAAACGCGTACCCTGCTCCAATTTATTCTGTTAATAATGAAGGTTCAACCCCTCCTGAGGCTGATTTCGTATGGAGAATTATACTTATGTTTGGTGCTATACCGGCTTTGCTTACTTACTATTGGCGTATGAAGATGCCTGAGACAGCACGTTACACAGCTTTGGTAGCTAAGAATGCTACAAAAGCTGCTTCCGATATGAGTAAAGTGTTGAATGTTGAAATTGAAGCAGAGAAAGAGAAGATTGTTGAGACACAGGGGAATAGTTTCGGGCTGTTTACTAAGGAGTTTCTTCATCGTCATGGACTGCATTTGCTTGGAACAACTAGTACATGGTTTTTACTAGATATCGCGTTTTATAGTCAGAATCTATTTCAGAAGGATATATTTAGTAAAATTGGATGGATACCTCATCCAGAGACGATGAACGCGTTGGATGAGGTATTCAAAATTGCAAAGGCACAGACTCTTATTGCTCTTTGTAGTACAGTACCTGGTTACTGGTTTACAGTTGCATTTATCGATAGAATGGGTAGATTTGCGATTCAATTGATGGGGTTTTTCTTCATGACAGTGTTTATGTTCGCGTTAGCCATACCATACAATCATTGGACTAAAAAGGAAAATAGAATTGGTTTTGTTATCATGTATTCACTAACCTTTTTCTTCGCGAATTTTGGTCCAAATGCTACAACGTTTGTTGTGCCCGCGGAGATTTTTCCAGCTAGGTTGAGATCAACGTGCCACGGGATATCAGCTGCAGCTGGGAAAGCTGGTGCTATTGTTGGTGCATTTGGTTTTCTGTATGCTGCTCAATCTACTGATCCATCTAAAGTCGATACGGGTTATCCTACTGGAATTGGTGTGAAAAATGCACTTATTGTGTTAGGTTGTGTGAATTTTCTTGGAATGTTGTTCACATTATTAGTGCCAGAATCAAAAGGAAGATCATTGGAAGAAATGTCAAAGGAAAATGAAGGAGAAGAAGAAATAACTAAAGGGGAAAATGCACAAACTATTCCAGTTTCCGTTTAATACATAAATACGTCATTTAAGATCGTGCAAAGAGCTTTTGAGGCTCTTTAGTAAAGCTTTATGTTCTTTGTTTTTGTATGTTACGATGAAATAATCATCTATTCTTTTTTGGTTTGTGGTTTTTTTTTCTTCCTTCTTGTGTAATTCTGCTAATCTTTGATGCAGGAGCTTTTGATTTTCTTTATGTTATAATAAAAATAAATTCAGTATAGTTAAATCAACCCTTTTATTTTATGGATTTTATTCTTTAGCGTATGTCACAATAAGAAATGATAATGCAAGGTAATCATTGAAGACTATGTAATTCTATCTAATTATTTTGAGTTCACGCATCGTAGCTCAAAAGGATTTAATATAGACAAATCGATCATATGATGCAATATCCATAATTGATTTCACATGCAATACAAATTTATAATAACCATTTCGGTCAAATTATCAATCATTACTGTTAGTCACCACAACCACTAACTGTTACCTCTCTACAATAACTATAATAAGTCAAACACTACCACTAATCACCCCATTAATCAGGTCCCTCAATTACCATCATCAATATCTTATAATTTTTTTTTATATTTTGTTGACTTTAAGTAAATATGAAAAAAAAGTCATCCTTCAAAGCCCAACTTGAAAAAGATCGATATCAAGTTCCCTACACAAACAAAAAAAAATTGCCTTTTATTTCAATCATTGACAATTTAAATACCATAATTTGTCTTTTTTAAAACTAGCTAGACTCAATACTTATATATATATATATATATGGGCCATTCCTTTGGAAAAATATACCAAGTTTATTGTCTTGTATAAAAGCTACAAAGACTTTTTACATCAACATGATTAGAATTTTAAGAGAAGGCAACTAAACTCTCCACATGCCCCTTGTTGCTTGCTTGGCCTGCCTAATAGCATGATTCGTATGATAATTTTACTAAACATAAAAAATATATAACTAATGTATTAACATAAAAATATGAATTAAATGACTATACTTGATGAAGTTTGTTTTTTGGAGTGATGATAGACTATTGGCATTTCTATTTTTAATCCAATGAGGGACAATTTGTGAAGTAACATAAAATCTCTCATACTTTGCTTCAAAAATTCTGAAATTTTTGTTCTTATAAAGTATTCTTCTAACTTATCATTTTTATACATAGCAATAACTTAAGAAAATGTAAGAAAATAAAATAAATAAGTCATCATTATAGGAGATTTTTTGAAGAAATCGGATAATTCATGATTATTTTGACTAATACTAATCAATATTAATGATTTTACCCTTAAAAAAATATTTTATAAACTTTTTTAAAAAATGATTTATAGTCCGACAAACATCTATTATTGGTTATCTTTTAGATCACAAATTTCAAAATATTTTTTTTTTAAAATTTCGTATCAAGTCAAACTACATTACAATTTACATAAATTGAGGCGAAGGAGTATTATAAATTAGGGGTAAGTCAAATTAATTAAACTTTGTGTGGAGCGTATATAGATTGGTTATAACTAATTAGATGATTCAACAAAAATTAACACATCGAAAGCTCACAAAACCAATTATTCATTTGATACTACTGATTCAATGTTGTACAATTATTGAAAAACAAATATAGTATTATTCAAATATAATTACTAACTCCTTTTTGAAAAATTAAAATTTTACATTATAACATAGTATAAGATTGATTTTGTACAATTAATAGTATCCCATATTTACTTTTGCAAGGAAATCCCCCTTTTAATAGTACATTTATCAAAATTATTATGGCATTTCTAAGTTTGTCTTCATCAAGAAATTTCTATATTAGGATGCATTATATCTTATTTTTATGATCTCTTAAATTGTAGTTCTAGTATAAAAGATAAGTGAAATGATTATTTTATTTACTTAATTTCTGCAATGGAGAACTTTGGTGTATCTTTCCCTAGCTTCAATTTTTTCATTGCTTACATTTGTGGTATGTATATCATCTTTATGCTTTCATTTTTGTAATATATATAGAGAGACATATATTTTTCAAAAAGTAAGAAAAAAAGAAGACAACTCAAAATCAATATTCAAATCACTTCATTTTTTTAAAAAAATCGTCTAGTGGTCAATGAGCTGAAATCTAAATCACAGAAGAATGTGATTTATAGTGTCAGATAGACGATTCAGAAAAATGTGATTCATATTGACGATACCAACAATTCAAACTTGTGAACCAAACCTAATTTTAAAATCCTTCCTCATTACATTGAAGACATTAAACTTTTTTCATAACAAGTAAACTTGAGTCTATTTGGATGTCTTTATATATATATATAAGTTGAGTCAAACATTGTTGTTATTTATAAGAATACTATTTCATAACAAGTACACTAATTCTATTACTTGATTTTGCAGCCATGTTTGTGATGATTCAAGTTCTATCTACAACTAATGCTCAATTAGTATGTTCATCACAATCAAATGCTTCTCTACCTTGTTCTCAAGAACTTACAATTTGTCAAACAAATTGTGTCTCAGATTATGGAGCATTCTATCTTAATTCAGAGTGTCATGACGTAGAACAAAACAAATCTATTTGTGTATGCTACTATAATAGCCCCTCCAAATGTCCAAAATAATATAAATGTTTTTTTCAAGTTATTGTAATTGCATCCATCTTTTTTTTTTCATTATAGCTCTCTCTTCATTTTCCCAATTTCAAATTTAAGATGTAGTGTTACCTTTTTATAATAATTTGTGTGTTTTTATGAATAGATTGTTAGAATATTCTCAATGGAGAGTCAAGTTATTTGTTTGTTTTTTTTAAATTTGTTGTAATTGAACAACTCAGAATTTAATCTTTACATATAAAAAAATACATTCGAAACGAAAGATAATATGAATCTTACATACATACATACATAAAATTCGAGTTAAGGACTTGTATTTGTAAAGATGATCGTGATGTATTTCACGAAATTTTGATCTAACGTATATTCCATTTAGTGTTCAACTTTTTTGGGGAGAAAATAAATGAGTAGGGATGTCAAATGGACGGGGATAGACAGAAGTAAATAAATAAATTGGAGTAAAAATTGGCCCAAAATTAGCTGGAACTAAATGAGATGGATTGAAATAAAGTAAATTTTAAGTTTGGCAAACATAAAAATTATATTTGTATGTTATACGTATAGTTTGTATAATTATGCTCCATAGCAAACTTTATGTATGCTATGACTATTAGTATGTATATTTCGGTATACATATATAAAAGATCAATTGTATAATCTGTTTCAATATACACATACAAAAGAATCAATCATATAATTTGTGTTTGTATAAACCGAGAAAGAGAGAAAGACGAAAGAAAACTGGGCAGGAAAAGATCTGTATTTGTATAATTATAAGTGTATAGGACGAAGAAATATCTATTTGTATTTGTATATACAATTTTCTATCACTTTATACAAACACAAATTATACATGTGTTTCTATAAAGTGAGAGAGGCGAATGAGAGCGTCGTGCGAAATCTAGGAGAGCGGCAAGCGAGATTCTCTGGAGAGAGACAAAAGAAAACATATGTATGTACACAGTTTTCTCTCACTTTATACAAACACAGACACATTTTATACATTTGTGTTTGTATAAAAAGTGAGAGAGACGAGGGAGAGATTGCCAGCGAAAAAGCTAAAGTGGCGAACTAGAATTTCAATGAGAGGCGAATGACAATAGTTTACTACGAGTTAAGATTAAATCAAACTATGATTATAACATTCAATTTGAATTAATAATTTTGCTATTTTATATAATTTTCTTATTCTAAGAATAAGATAAAAAATGGTTATAGTCATGCTCTATCCAACTAGACCCAATTTTCTCTAGGGTTTTTGTACGCTAATTTTAAAAATATGTTTTTGACTTCTAATTGTTGGGATTTGTATATTATTATCAATAAAATAATATGACAAATGTGAGTAATTCTATACCTAGGAAAATGTCCATAAACTTTATTCTATCGGAAACAATAAAATCACATCTCATTGTGTTTTCGAGTCATTAATATTCTTGTTATAAAAATATATTTTCATATTAGTACTTAACAATCAACAAAGATACTTCATTCAAATACAATCAAAACAAAAGGGTATGTATTACATCCAATAACGTATAGTAATACCAATAAACTTGTTAAAGTAGGAGAAAATCATGTGTGTGCCTTTATCTCATAATACAGTTGAGAATCTGTCAACTTATTGTGGTTGATAGTAAAAGAGAATTAATTCATGCATGATAATCTTTTTTTTAGTGCTCACGATCTCTGTATGAAAAGTTAGATCAAAATATAACAAAAGGAAACACTAGTTTGATGATTTACAATTTCACATATAAGACAAGTCTCTTAATTGATTAATAGTACTTTATTACATTAATTTTACCAACATGGCATGTGGTGCAGTGAGTGATACTGTTCCACCCTTAACCAGATGTCTCAGATTCGAGTTCTGGATATGGAGAAAATCATGTTGGATCCTTCACCCCAAATAGGCCCTACAGTGTGCGATTCAAATTTTATTGAAACACTAAACCCTGGGTGGAAAATCGAAAAAAAGAAACATCATACTTCCTTTACTACTAAGAAGTATGAGTAATCTACAGATCTATTGATAATGTTGGATTAGAGTTCCAAATAAGGGGTCGAAATTCTCAAGCTACGACACCATCTTCTTTCGTCCCATCATTGCTAGTGATCCATGGATGCCCTGTGTATTATTATAATATATCATCTTATTAACCAAGAAAATAAGTAAATTAATATTTGAAGTTTTTCAAGTTATATGCATTGAACCAGTCAAAAACAAAAATTTTTATAGTGATCACACATTTTAAAAGTTTTATATGAATTAAGAATCATATGATTAAAATGCCATTTTTCTTTTTTTAAATTGTAGAGGCAAAGAAATCTCATCTTCCTCCTCTTTTAAAATCAAATTCCGTTTTTAAATGCACAAAGATAGAATCCTAAATCCTATATAAGTGTTCCAAGTCCAAACTAGACTTCATTTTGAATCATTTGATCCTATATTAAGGGAATAATTATTATTAAGTACATAGATATGCCTTAATTTAATTATTTTAAAGTTGTGATTAAAAGATTTGATCAAATAAATAAATACATAGTGATCACGCATTTTAAAAGCTTTATATAGTAAAGCTAAAATTAATACATAAAA